CTTACCCTATGGTTTTTTGCTTTTTGTTTTGAGGTAGGAGCTCACTTTGTAGTTCAGGCTGGCCCTGTACTCACTATGTAACCCAGGCAGGCCTTGAACTTGCAGCGATCCTCCTGCCTCAGCCTCCCCAGTGCTGGAACTACAGGCATGTGTCACTATGCACAGCTTTTACTTACAGTTTGAAGAACACTGGAGCTGGAACTACAAAGGCTGCCTGTCTAATCTCCTACCCAAAGCAGAACTGCTCTTTACTACTCAGTGGGTAATTTACTTACTAAGGCTCAAGTACTATGCCAGATGTCTAACTGAGCAATTTCTTACAAGCTAAGTCACTCAGGCTCTTGGGCACAAACGTACAGGAATGAAGTACGGTACTAATTCTTGAGGTTTCATATTCAATTGTTAGTGGGCTTTATTCCTCAGCAGACTCTTTCTCATATTCAGTTGATATCTTCCTAATAGACTCGACTGGTACCAGAATTTCCCTCTGAAGACACATAAATCTGAATCTAAACCCTTTGTCACACAACTAAGTGAAGAGAGTTAGGATACTTTTAATAAGTCTGTTCTCTTTTAGACCTCTCAATTCCTCCTTACATTACATGGCATCCAGATACTTATTTTAGGTAGAAGGGAGTAGAACTGAGTATTTTATTTTTCCAAATATGTAGGTATTTTAAAAGTTACAATTCTAGTTAAGAATTTCTACAACTCCAATTAATTGCTAAATCAATGGAACAAATGTATTAAAAAGTCCATAATTACTTTTTGGATCAACTCTGGCAGTAACTAGGCTTGCAATATCCCCAATTTGTATCACTTTCCCTGTGATATGAAATAATAACGTCAATGCAGTTGAAGATCTATAAAGTATGACTTTTCATGAATTCACATTGAAAAAAGATAAAGAAATGTTAAACGTTGACCTTTACCTAAAAAGTAAGAATTACCTGGCAAGCACAAAGTCCTTAAATCAATCCCCAGTACCAAAAAAATTGATACAAAATTGATATGATGGCATATGCCTATAATCCTAGCCCTCAAGAGGCTGAGGCAGGAAGAGCTCCGTGTGTTTGAGGCCAGCCTGGGCTACATAGTGAGACCCTGTCTCAAAAATCAAACAAAAACAAACAACAACAACAGAACTGATACACTAATTCTAAGAAAATTAAGCTATAAATTAAGCATACTGAAGAATAAATGTATTCTTATGATTAAAACTATAGCCACGGGGATTTAGCTCAGTGGTACTGCCACTCGCCTTGCAAGCACAAGGACCGGAGTTTGATCCCCGGTACCAAAAATAAATAAATAAACTATAGCTATGAGCATCTGGTCTATAGTCTTAAATGGTTGTTAGAACGGGTAATACTGTAAAACTATAAAATTCATAAATGCATTGTTTTTCTGGGCTTCAAGCACACAAAACTGTGAAGTAATACAAATTAACTAATAAAATGCTATTAGCATAGAAAGTTTAAGGATAGCAAGAGTTTGGTCTAACAGCCAGAGATTTAGCTCACTGGCACCACGCCTGCCTGGCAAGCACAAGGTTCTGAGTTCGATTCCCGATACTGGAAAAAAATCAATTGCAAGAGTTTGGACTTTATAATTAACGAAGCAAAAAAAAAATTGTAAACATTTCAGGGTATTTCGAGTCGTACTTCTGGGTGGTGAGATTATAGGCAATAATTTTTCTGCCATTTCTTTTTCGTTATCTATACTTTCCAATTTTTCCAAAATAAAGGTACACTTACATTTGTAATTAGAAGCATCAACAGACAAAAAGTGAACCCCTACTTGCCAAGAGTTTATCAGTTCACTGCCACAATGCTGAAGAGAATTATGAAAATTTCTTAGATCGATACTTCTTCCACTTGAAATGATTTGCACACAAATCATCCAGAGGTCTAATGGAAATACAGATTCTAATTCATTTTCGTTTTCTTTATGGTAGATGGGGATTGAACCCAGGGCCTCGCATATGCTAGGCAAATGCTTTACCACTGACTACATCCCCAGCCCTCCTGGTCCACACTTGGAAAACCAGCGTTCTAGTCCAGAAAAATGAACCCTCTTGACTGCTTTCTTTTGGTGGGTGTGGTTAAGGAAGAGTGAACAACTCTTTTTCCATGGATATTCCATGGATTTTTAATTTTGAAATGAGTTGTTCTGGAATGGATTGTGTCCCTAAAAAGATACGCTAAAGCCAGGCGCAATGGCACACTTTTGTAATTCCAGCACTCTGGAAGGCTGAGGCAGGAGGATCACGAGTAGCCCAGCCTAGGCAACTTAGTGACTTAGCAAGACCCTGTCTCAGAATAAAAATAAAAAGGACTGGGGAAGGTAGCTCAGTGTGAACATCCTGGTTTCAATCCCCAGGGCTGAAAAAAGAATTAGACCCAAAATATCGATCATTTAAGTTAAATAAATCACAATGTAACAAGAGAAATAAAATGCAGCTAGAAGATCTGCACGCCTTGGTGTGGAAGAATGTCCTCGATACATCCTGACAGCGAAAAGGCACAACAGTGCAGTCAAACTGACAAGGTGCAAAACTGAAGTGTGTCCTCTACTAGCTTGTGAGACTTCCACCATGTCTGTAGGCTCTGTGTCTCAGTTTTGTCACCTATAACATTGATATCGCACTGGCATTTATCCCACAGGATGCTGTGAGGATTAAATCAACTGGTGGGGAAAAAAAGTGTTTCACCCACTCTTTGGCATAAAGCAATCGCTCTGTACAGAGTTAACAAGGCCCTCTGGGATCTGGAGCCTGCCTCTCTCCCCAGAGTCATTTCCCACCAACGCTTGCTAAATTACTAAAGCGAATTCTCGATGCAGTGCTCTTGTGACACTTAGCTCGTTATCTCTTTTGTCACCACTATCACACTTTAATCAAGATGCTGGCATGTTTACATCCCTTAGTAAATTGTGTTTCCAGTAGATCACAAGGCTAGAAACTTTGGCTCATTTAGTCATACACCCACTCACTCACTCATTCAACAAATATTTTTGAACATCCACTACATGCCAGGTACTTCATAACTATGTCCTCAGAGCTGAGATCTTATAGGTGCTCAAAAATATAAGCTATAGTTTAGTATAGTACAAAGAGAACAGGATTCAAATTGAGTAACACTGGGCTAGAATTGGGGTGGGTGGGTTTTTTTTTGTTGTTGTTTCGGTTGGGTTTGGGTTTTTTGATGTTCTGAGGATTGAACCCTGGGCCTTCCCACTGATCTACATCTCCAGCTCTCTCTCTCTCTCTTTTTTTGTTTTGTTTTGTTTTTAATTTGAGACCAAGTCTCACTAAATTCCCCAGGTGGGACTCAAATTTGCAATCTTCCTGACTCAGCCTCCCAGAGTGCTGGGGAGATAGAAGGCTAGGGTGTGGTTAAAACTGGCTAGGAAGGTAGATGTGACCTGCTAACCGCAAAATCCCAGGACACAAGCCTAGAACAATTCCCAGAGTTCTGCAAAGGGACTTCTTGTAAAAGGTTTTCCATAGGATGGGCCTGGACTTGACCTCACCCTGAGGAGAGGGAGATACACAAAGGACAGTCAACAAGGAGCTTTATGCCACTTTGTTCTCTCTTGCACAGTGGTTCACTCTCACCCTGTAGAGCATATTTTATTTTCTTATTTTTACCTGGCCCAAACTTCCTTTCCTACCTTTAATAAAACTTTACACTTGTCTCGACCAATTCTTTGCTCGGGCCAGAACGAATCTAGAAATCACCTCCAAAAGGAGACTCCAAGACCCAAAATCCAGTAATACTACTGTCTATCAAAATTCTGTTTTCAAACCTTAGCTAGATTTGCAATTCCAATCTTGTGTGAGCCAAATCTGCTGCTGAAAGAAAACACACATCTCCTTAAAAGCAACAACAGCCAGCAAGAAAGTAAGGAACTACCACTTTATTTTTTGTGAGGTTAGGAGAGTTAAATTGGAAAGATGAAGACTCCTGGGATTCCAGCAGGAGTCCTGAGTTGGTGGCCACATGGTCCCTTGATCTAGAACAGGGAATTGTCTAGAAGCCACCTATCACAGGTAGATCTGTGGATTTATGTGTTGTGGATTTTTTTGTTTGTTTGGTTGGTTGGTTGGTTTTTTGAGACGGTCTCACTATGTAGTTGAGACTGACCTGGAACTCACTAAGTAGCCTAGGCTGGTCTCTAACTCACAGTGATCCTCCTGCCTCAGCCTCAGCCTCCCAGTGCTGGGATTACAGGCGTGTGCCACCATGCCAGGCTTTTTGTTGTGTTGTGTTTTTTTTGTTTTGTTTTGTTTTTTGTTTTTTTGAGAGCTGTGGGTTTAAAATGACCAGTTGGAACTCAAGCTCTCTAACCCAGTTTAAGGGGAAGAGGGATTCTAGAGGAAAATAAGAAAACTGTTATTTTGTATTATATGTACCTCAAAACTCAGGAGCTTAGCAGGGAGTACCTCCAACTCCCTTTAGGAGGGAGCGGGGTGTTATTACATGTTGCCTGAGGAAATCATTCTTGGTCCAGAGCCCTAGTTCGCTGTCTATTCTTATTTTAATTCCCTATCAATAGACAAAGCCAAATTCTAAGTGAAAGCTGGAAGCCGTGGAAGTCAGCTGTGCCAGGCGCACATCAGCAGATGCAGTGAACTTCCCTTCGGTTTTGTTGGCCTCATGGAGTGGGGAGATCCATTTATACTCATTTTCTGAGGACCGAAGCCCTTAGTGACAGATTAACACTTACCAAAGGCTTCCTACGCTCAGTGCTTTACTAAATGCATGTTATTCTATTTAACTCTCACCCCTTGGCCTTCCCCACAGCCTAACCCAGGGGAGAAGGCCAGAATGAGACCCTCTGCAAATTCGCAGGCCAGAGACACACGACTTAGGCGAGGCATTATTAGGAGATAGCACAAACCAAAACTCAACAACGCTGTACAAAATACTTCCTCAAACAAAGTGTTATCGGGTAGGCAGCCTGCTTCTAAAAGTGGCTTACCGACTAAACCTTACCAAGTTCTGGGTTGCTTGCTCGCCTCTCCCTCTGCAGTTAGATTCCGGGGTCTTCTCCTCTTGAACGAAGAACTGAACAAAAGGAGCAAAAAGCAGTGACAAACTGTGAGAAAACAGAAGTGAAGAGTTGGGGGAGAAACTGGCTCTGCAGGGCAAGCTTGGGCCGAGTAAAAGAGAAAAGGAGAAGGAAAGGCAATAAAAGTACACGCTGCAACTGGAAAACGTGGTACGGTCTATGGTGGAAAGTTACTACGACAAGTTCCTCAGGACTCACCTCTCCCTTTGTACTGTCCAAATGTCAAGGAAACCTGTGAGAATTTCTACATCTGCGTCCTGAGAGGCTGTGCTGGTCCTGGAGAGAGTTAAGTTAATTAGACATCTTGTAGGCAGTTAGACAGGGCCGGCCTGAGAGGAGCCAACACAAACGACAATCAAGACACATTCACGGAAGGCCAGCATTGTAAAAGAAGAGAAACTAGCCAGGGCTTTAGCTCAGTGGTTCTGGCGCCTGCCTCACAAACGCAAGGCCCCTGGGTGCAAACGCAAGGCCCCTGGGTTCAATCCCCGGTACCAAGCAAAAAAAAAAAGAAGGGAAACTACCACACTCATGTGCTTCCCCTAAGGAAGAATAGCAGTGAGGATTTTAAATAGGTATCGATCACCTGGGCAAGGGGCCACCCCTTCCCGGAAATATCCCAGATGGAAAATCCTTACCTGCTTGCTATGGGACTTGCTTCCCCATTGGATCTGCATCTAATCAACTATACTTGTCATTCTTACTGGTTGATCAGTTTTATCCACCCTGTAGTTTTTTATTGGATCAGTATTTCCTAAACACCTGTACTTGCAATCTTGCTTGTTGACTATAGTTTTGTCCCACCTTGAACCCGCCTCACCTCATGGCTTTTTCCCATAAAAACAACTTTGAGAAGTGGGAAGGCAACTCACTCTTCCATTCCCCTCCCCCCCCTTTTTTTTGGCTTTTTGAGACAGGGTAACACTACGTAGTTGAGACTGACCTGGAACTCACTATGTAGCCCAGGCTGGTCTCGAACTCACAGCGATCCTCCTGCCTCAGCCTCCCGAGTGCCGGGATTACAGGCATGCGCCACCACGCCCAGCTCCCAAGGCCTTCTGTCTCTTTTAGACAGAATGTAGGAGCCCGGCCATGGCCCTCTAGGAGTTTGACATTTAAAAGGAAACTTCTTCACCTCTACACTCAAGACATTGATACAATCTGTGTAACATTGTAGGACTCTGCTTGTTAAACTTGTTGCTGCAATGGAAGAAACTCAAAGACACAGCCATAGATCGGATGTTCTTTGTAAAGAGTCAGAAAATCCGGTCTTTGCATAAAAGATACAAATAGTTGCTTGGTTCTTCCTGTTGATGTGAACCTATAAAAGGAGCTGTTTCTATGAAATAAATCAGACTTCTCTTGGTCTCCACTCAGGGTTGAGTGTTCTTTCCTTTCTCAATCCTCACTCCCCGACTCAGGCACGTTCGTGTTGTGACGGCTGGACCGCCACAACAGAAGCTATTTTTCTCTCAATAAAGTTTTCCTACACTTAACCTCTATTGTTCCTAGAATTCATTCTTTGATATTAGAGAACATGAACCCACGTTTCAGATATCTAGCAGGTTTGGGGGTTACATCTATTCCCCTTATATCACTGGGATCCCACACCTCGGGCTGAGATCAGGTTTAGGCCATCCTACTGAAACCTTGCTGGAGTTCTCAACAGACGCTGGGAACTGTTCTGCCCATGTGTCTGAGATTTTGTAATTAACAGGCCATGCCCAGTTCCCCAGCCAGCTTTGCCATTCCCTAATCTCCTATCTCAAAAGAAATTCTGGGGCCGGGGATTTAGCTCAGTGGTTCCACTCGCCTCACAAGTACAAGGTCCTGAGTTCGATCCCCTGTTAAAAAAAAATCTTAAAAATTCAAAATGAAAGGACAGGTAAAACTATATCAAGTGAATGCATACATGAAGAAAATAGGGTAGGCCAAGCATGGTGGCGCAAGCCTGTAATCCCAGCACTCGGGAGGCTGAGGCAGGAGGATCGCTGTGAGTTCAAGACATAGCCTGGACTACATAGTGAGTTCCAGGTCAGTCTCAACTACATAGTGAGACCCTGTCTCAAAAAACCAAAAAAGAAAAAAAAAAAAAAAAAACCAAAAAAAACGGGGTAACTTGATTTAGTCACTCCACAATGTAATGTACACATATACCAAAACGTCACACTGTATATACCACAAATATATATAATTTTTAGTTGTTGATTAAAAATAAAGTTAAAGTTAAGCTCTTTTTCCCTCTGCTTCTCCCTTCTGCCAAACCGAAAGATACCTCACCAGGCACTGGAGACATCGGCAACCCAGAGACTTTCAGGGACCTGAGAGTTGCCTTGCAGAGCAGGCAACCAATCAACCGAGCCAACAAGGAGGGTTAGGAACAGCTTGGAATCCAGCGTGACATCTCCCAGAGAAGAAAATTTAAGAGCGAGGCACCCAGAAGCCGAAACAATGGCTATATAAAGTATTGCCTTCTGGCTGGGTGTGGTGGTGCACGCCTGTAATCCCAGCACTCCGGTGTCTGAGGCAGGAGGATCGCTGTGAGTTCGAGACCAGCCTGGGCTACACAGTGAGTTCCAGGTCAGTCTCAACTACATAGACCCTGTCTCTAAAAGCCAAAAACAAACAAACAAAAATAAAGTACTTCCTTCTGAAGAATGCTGCAGTGCCCCCTGCCCCTGAGCCCAGAGGGAGCAACCCGGAGTGCACACAGTTATATTGCTCCTCCTGCAGTGACCTAGGCTGCATCTGTACTGTGCCACATTGGGACCACGGGCATTTCAGGAGTACACCTTGTCCTTTGGGGCCCTAACCATTACACATCCCCATCTCTGAGGTGCACCACCACTGCACATAACTCCCCAAAGTGGCTACAACACCCTGTCCTTGTTTCAGGGAGTCTAGGCCTAATAGTATGGCCACAGCAGGCAAGGCTTGAGTGGCACACATCACCCGGTAAAGAGAAGCCTCGTGAACCCACAGTATAAAAGCGCCTTCAGTCTCAGTGGGGAGGCAGCTTTTGACCTAATGAAGTAAGTAGCTGCATGACTGAAGCACTTTGCAGGCGACGCCGATGTTGCTGCCCATGAAAAAGTGCATGAAGAATGCGCTCTTGCACCTACCTAGAACCCAAGTCACCATGCCCTATTGAAACAAACCCTTGAGATGCATCTACAGATAAAAACCCTCTCCTATGAAAGCCTTTCTACAAAAGCAGAAGAGATGACTGCTTCTCTAGCTGCACAGATGTCAATGAAGGGACACAAGATGTATGAATCAGCAGGAAACAGAGTACACCACGATAATTGTGTAGTAGGGAATAGTTACTGCCAAAGGAAAAGAAATAATAAATATTGGTGAGGCACTACAGAAAAGGGAATTCTTACCATTTGTTACGATATAAAATAATAAAGTTACTAGGGGAAAAAAGTAGGACAGTTCCTAAAAAATCTAAAATAGACCCACCATATGATCCAGCAATCCATTTTTTGGATATGCATCCAGTGGAATTTAAATTAGTATACTGAGGGCCGGGGATTTAGCTCAGTGGTTCTGCTTCCTGCCTCACAAGCGCAATGACCCGAGTTCGATCCCCGGTACCAAAAGATTAAACAAATAAACAAATACATTAGTGTATTGATGAGATATTTGCACTTTCATCCTCACTTTAGCACTACTCCTAACAGCCAAGACATGAGGCTAATTAAAGTGTGCATCAACAGATGTACAGATAAAGAAAATATGGCATATTTAATGCTTTCGACCATAGATCAAAAGGAAAAAAAAAAGAAATCCATGCTTGAGCAATTTGGATGAGCCTGGAAAGCATTACGTAATGAAACAAAACTGGCACAGAGAGACAAATACCACGTGATCTCACATGTTTGTAGAATGGGGAAAAGCTGACCGTACAGGAGAAAGAAGAACGGTATATAGCAGGAGCTACTCAAGGTAGGGATGTGGATATACAGAGGCTGGAGAATATAAATAGATGCAAAAATAGGAGGAGTAATTCCCCATGTCCTCTTGTACAGGAACGTGTTCATATCTCACAAAATTATGTTTTATATTTCCAAATAGGTAGAAGAGAGAATTTTGAACTTTTCCACCAAAGAAATGAAAAAGGTCTAAGGGGATAGATATGCTTGTTACTCAAATTTGATCAACCTATACTGTATACATGCATAAAACATCATACCGTACCCCACAAACACGTACAACTGTGTCAATTTAAAATAAAATAGTATAGGGTCAGGGATTTAGCTCAGTGGTTCCGCTACCTGCCTCAGAAGCGTGAGGGTCCCCTGGTACCAAATAAATAAATAAATAGTATGTCATAAAATTCAAAAAATCGCCGGGCATGGTGGCACACACCTATGAGCCCAACACTCGGGAGGCTGAGACAGGAGGATTGCCACAAGTTCGAGGCCAGCCTGGGCTACTTAGTGAGTTCAGGGCCAGTCTGAACTACAAAGGGAGACCCTGCCTCAAAAAAACCAAACCAAACCAGAATAAAATAGAATTTAAAAATTAAAGTTAAAAACAAAAATATATTTTTTTATGAAAGACAGGAAGGCGGTTGGACTTCCTCTTCCAGCTATGATGAAATAATAACACAAGACCAGGTTTATCTTCCCACCTTAAACCACTCTTGGAAATGGGTAAACGTAAGCTGAGTTTGGAAGTGCACACTTGTTATCCCAGGCAGGAAACTGAGAGTTGGAGGCCGGCAGGGGCAACTCACTGAGACCCTGCATCAGAACAAATAAACAAATGCAAAATCTTGGAATGTAGCTCCCTTAGTGCATGCTGGGTTCAATCCCCAGTACTGAAAAAAATGGGTAAAATAGATGAAGCAGGAATTTTTCAGACACTGGACAATAAGGAGTACGTATAAGAAAGTGATACTAGGAAATGGAAAAAATAAAGTCAGTCCTACTGTTGCCTTCAGCTTAATTCACAGAAAGAATTTCCAGGGTATGGTGCTGGAAAAAGTTACCCAAACGGAGCCCTGTGGTTTCCCTATGTCACAAAGATAACACTCAAAATCCAAGGCAGACAGGGAGCCAGAATTTGGGGGGCAAAGTATCCAAGGGAAGAGAGCTTCACTTAAGAGGGATTTGATATGCACAGGGTTCTACTTATCTGATCAGTAGATGCGTGGGAAAAGTGCCCATTGTTAATATAGGGCCTCTCGTGTTCCGGATTTATGGCTTTTGCTTTCTGTGCAATTGAACTGGGCCCTTTCGCTTTCCTGTAGAAAGGAGCACTATACA